GCCCGCCAATTTCAACCGTCACTTTCTGGACCTTTGAGGTGTAAGACTACAGATTTTCGTCTCTAATAGAAGTTTTCGTGGATTTTATTCGTTTAAAAGCAAACACCCTTCAACTAGTAAGCTATCCGAGTGGCTGTAGTGTCTTTAGGCATTATATTTTAMCGTGGATGACACAGTCAACTGGTGAGATTCGATTGCAATTTACATGTAAGGTATGTTATTATAGTCTGTTTTGCCGCTCTGAGTCCAATATCAAATACATTGTTGTTGAGTTATATCACTAGTCAACGTGATGTCAAACATAATAAGACTTTCTAGCGATATCTTTCTTGCTCAGGAGGAGCCGACGGTATCTGTTTTTCTAAATAACTGTTCTTGTACGAATTTTTTCCTGGGAAAGGGATTTTAAGCTACATTGTTGACAATCTCACAAGCAAATGTGGTGCCCTTCCTTCTTTAAAATAATTTTTTTCCTGGCAAACGTTTTTATGGTCAAAAAAGTCTTTTATTTTTTTGGTTAGAAAAATTTTCATTTTCCTGGCAAATGTTCTTAGAAACTATTCCTTGCCTGCAGAGTTCTTTTTTCACTGAATTTCTCGCTGGCAAACAGTTGTGACTTACAGCTGGCTGGGACATAAGAACAGATATATTTCTCCCAGGAAACCGTCTTGCTTGCTCATAGACACCAAATCAAAGTCTTGAAACGAATGAATATCATGGATACGTCATGAGTACAAGAAGCTCAATGTGAGTGATTACTRGTAAAATGAGCTTGTAAACTGTAGTTCTCATATTTATCCTTAGGAATCTGTTGAATTTGGCTAAACACACCTTATCTTTGGCTTATGATATATATGATATCTATGTTAAAGGAGTGTGGTTTATCAAGAACTTTTATRTAAAGAAGTTCTGCTTTTTGAATCATTTTAAAACTACATGATGATAGTTTTGTTACTCTTTAATTGTATTCATTTTAAATCCATACTTAATTTCCTAGCCAAAGATCAACTTCCTAAACAGAAATGTGAGAAATACAATTTTCAATGTTTTATACTAAACAATACATGTGGAATATTGTTGTTGTTTTTTATGAGCTTTGTAAACTTTGAAAATATTCCAGATTACAGGAGCTTTTTTGCACGATGGCTATGTGAATTGCAGTGTGTAAATTTATGTTTTGCGATTTTAAGGAAAGGTTCACAAGGCTGAGGCTACATAGGTCTAGTCATTTATGACACAGCCCAAAATCTGTTGTGTATCAGTTTGATCAAGCAGTCTTTACAGCTAGTTTTAAGGCAAACACATGGAAACCATGAAATAAAACCAAACTAAATACTAGCAAATAGCTTTAGAGGCAAATTGTCAGTATCAATGAACCAGCATGCAATCAAGCTGAATAGCCGATTTGCAAATTTCGCTACAGTAGTCAAACTATTAAAAATGGTTMCATCTGGATTCTTTTTCATTATGTTCTGGTTCATTGATACTGACAAATTGTCTCTAAATACCAGCTATTTGTTAGTATTTAGTTTGATTTTCATTGTTT